ACAACAACAACAACAACAACAACAACAACAACAACAACAACAACAACGACCTTTCGCTTGAAGCGCACCGACTGCTCCCACAGTCGCAGCCATTTGCGGGCACCGGCTTATCGCTATTAGAACGTGGTTCAGTGGTTATCTTCCTTCCGGAAGCATTGCTTGTTGGACATCTAACTGGCTTGCCACGACCACTTCCTTGTGATGATGTCCTCTTTTCGCTTCCGTTGCTGGTGGAATCTTCGGATCATCCTCTAATAGCAACCGTCTGCTGCAGTTCTGGTTGTCGTAACCAACCCTAACGCAACCGATTTGTCAGGATCATAGCCCGAAGGTCAATCTTCATGCATTGGCTAATTAGGAGGTCCACCCCGATTACGAGTTTATCCACAATGTTCATCACACTTGTGGTACGAGGCCACATCCCCAATTTTTACCTCAATGGTACTTCTCCTATCACTTGGGTGCGCTCACAAGTTCCAGTCGGCAACTTTGCTCCAGGTAGTGGTCTCACATATCAAGTGGCCAAATCAGGTCGAATAATGGTATGTGACGCTCCAATATCCACAGTCAGCACTGGATCTTGGCCATTCAGACTTACACCAACATTGCGGTTTCTCGCTTTCCGCTCAATTTGTGAGATGAACTTGCGACCCCCAAATTTATTTTTTTTAATGTCGTAATAAATTCATTTCATTATATCCATTTATTGAAGATTAAAGAATTTGTAAATATTTTTTCTATCCATAGCATTGTGTGATTAGAATACCATGGGCCAATTTACGCCAAAACTACATTGGCCCAGCGAAGCACAAGTTTAAACGATAATTTCGCAAAGTACAATTAAACGTCAAATTTTAAAAAATAAAAATGTGTTACGATTCAAATGGCTATATGATATAAAGTATTACTTAGCGATCATTTTTTTGTGGCTCGCAACAATAACTGTTGTATTTAACATTAAATTTTACTCTGGTATGTGATTATGTGATAAACGTGTAAACATAGCACTTTCTCTTTTTTTTAACGGCGCCTTACGTTTGTCCATTCTCCATCTTCACCACTTTTGTTCTCTGGAACAAAGAGATGAGAATTCAAGCCAACAAAAGCAAAATTTAGATTCCTACCTTTTTCCTGGGGTTCACGCTTTGGAGCACTTTTCTCCTTATCTTCGCGAGGGGCGGGACGTTCTGTTCTCCAATTTCCGGAATCTTTAGTGGCACCACCAACACCACGATCACGACGATCGCGATCTCCACGATCATCACGACGATCGCGATCTC